ATGTGATGCGATGTTAAATATTTGAGTGTTATGTAAAAATAAAAGTTTAGGTGTTAGACATGTAAATATTTAAAAACAAGTTTTCAATCCTTAGCCCTCATTGTTCTTGCCTCTTCTAAGAGCCCGTTTGGGGCAGCTTAGCGGTGGCGTTTTGAAAACGCACTTGACACGTTTGGATAAATTGCGTTTTGATAACTTATGTGTTTTGAAAACGCTGAAAACAGTATTTTCACACACCCATCTAGGTGCGGTGGTAGCTTTCTGGCAGCGGTCTGACTTTTCCAAAAAAAAATAAAATAAAAATTTGTAATAGTCATCGCACCTGACTTATCAGCAGATTATTCAATAAGCTGCAACTGCCCTAAATAGACTCAAAGTCACATGAGAATTAATTTTAGGAATATTTACTTACATAACTCTCAATTTTTATGTATTTATATATCTAATACCTTGTGATTGAAATATGTATTTTATTGTTTAAAAGTTAAAATGGTGGTTTTCATGATGCAATATGAAATATTTAGGAGTTATAAATGTAAAAAAAATACAATTTTTTAGGATTTTTGATATGTAAATACATAGGAATTGAGTGGTATGAATGTAAAAATATGTTACAAATGCAAAATGCTTATGTAGATAAAAGTAGAAAAACAAAAAGGGATATAGTTTTAGTTCATTGTATTTATTTTATTTTTTTTGGGGCATTTACATACATACACTCAATACATATGCAATTACATATAAAATGTCTAAATTTTATTTTTTACATTTATATTCCCCAAATCTTTCATATAATATCAAAAACGCCACCTTTTTAATTTTTAAAAAGTGAAATATGCTTTTGCAGGCATAGAAGTTTGTCTTTTTAAAAATTAAAATTTAGGTGGTAGATATGTAAATACATAATAATTGAGTGGTATATTTGTAAATCTTCCTCTTACATTTCTTATGGACGTAAAAAATTTGTGGTACGTCTTAAGTACGCAGCGCTGCGTACATAATGAATGTTATTTGAGCGTTATATAAGTATTATATTCGCGTTATATCCCTTGTAATCTCCATATAACTTTCATGTAACCTACAAATATGTGAAAACAGAAGTGTGAGACTTATTTGTAAGTTCAACTAGGTTACAAGTAAGTTATATAGATGTTACATGAAGGTTATAAGGGATATAACACGAATATAATGCCGATATAACACTCGTATAGCCTCCATTATGTATATCTTACATATGCAAATTTTTTCACTTATGAACCATATTTGGCTATCATTGTAAAATATTAGAAATAATTAAACTAGTAAAATTGATTTTAATTTAAGTCGAATGGATTTTTAAATTGTATCTTTACTAATTAATTAATTATTAAAAAAGGAGTGTTAACTTTATAAATATAATTATCCAAAAAATTGTCTTCATTAAATTTAATAAAGATATTCTAAATCAGAATATATTATGAATTTTTTGTTAATCTCTTTCAATCTGAGCCGTCCAATGCTTTCAATTAATTGATAAAAAAAAGTCACCATAAGGTTAGTCATATCTTCTTCCGGCATTCTCAGAGCTCCACGAAAACCCTAGAACATATAGGGCGAGAATGGCGCGAACGGGAGGCCGTGTTCCAATCCTTCCAAGCCCGCCAGTCAGTGGCCGCCGAGTTCTCTAGGCTATCCGCGGTGACAAGCATTAGAGCAAGCCCTATACCTCGTTTTCCGGCAATTAGCAGACAAATCTCCTTGATTCCTCAGCGGCGGATTACTCCGAAGGTATTGCATTTATATTTTCTACTGCTGCTTTGTTTTTCCGCCTTGATTAGGTTTTTTGTATCTGGTTATTAGAATTTGAAAGCAAAAGAAATGAAGAAATTTGTTATTAACTGGTGGCGAATTAAATTAATAGTTCATTCGATTTCTTGACTAAATTATTATTTGATTTACATGCACGCCCTTCTTAATTTCTATGTATTTGCATATCTAACAGCTAAAATTCAATTGTTACATATATGTATGCATGAACAAGTGTTTTTCACTTTATAAAAGTTAAAATAGTTGTATTTTTGATGTAATATGAAAGATTTGGGTGGTGTATACATAAAATGCAAAGTTTAGGTGCTATGTAAATACATAGAATTTGTTGGTATGTATGTGAATGCCTCTATTTTTTTTTTTCTATGTAGTATATTTGATTTGCTTAGATTTCATCACTCTGGTTCAAACAGGATGTGCCTAGATTTTGGTAATTTAAGCCAAGCTTATCTAAACTGGGGGAATTTGTTGTTTATATTTAAAAATGTGTTTTGTTTAAGTAACTACCATTGGAAGGAGACATTGTTCATATTCCTTTCTAATTGTTGAGTTGATAAGTTCCACCTTGATTTGATAGCTAGATAACAAAGAGAGAGACTTGGTTATTAAATTATCAACATAACCTTAAAGGACATTGGTTGGATCATGAGCTTGAGCCATCTGAGCTAAGTGAAGTTAATGTTTTGTTGGCTTTAAAGACTTGGTTCATATAGAGCATTAAGTTCCTTTAGGGAGAGTATTGCTTTAGTCCCAAAAGGTGGCACATAGGAAGTGACATTTGGTTGTTCCATGCACCTTCAACGCCCAATTAGATTTTCATGACATTCTCATTTGTTGGCAGAAATACGTTTTTCAATCAATTTGACTAAGTTTGTGTTAAATTCTTCTGCCAAGTTGTTTGCCTTTTGGTAATAGATTGTTGAATACCATCAATGCGGGCATCCAATGAATCTTTAATTTGAGTGATTCTCAACTTGTTATCAGTCAATTAGAAATTTGAAGTTAATAAAGTTGAACTATGTCAATATCATCAAAGGTTCATGAAATGCGTTCAAAAGATTTTCTATGTAGTCTAAGCCCAGGTGTCTTGTAGCAATTATGGTAGGGTAGATGCATTCACAAAACTCTCTAAGAAATGACTAACCTTGGCTAAAGAAATGAATATAACAACTAACCAAAATCATCAGATCTTGGTACTCGTGTATCTACACCTTCAAGAAGAACCCTATAAAACCCAACAAAACTTTGGCAATGCTTCTTGTTGAATAAGGATTGTCTAGAGAAAACCAACCTTTGTTACCTTCAAAAGGGTAGGTTTATTGACGAACAATCACTTGGCCCACAAATTAAGAAACATTTGATGCATTTGTCTATGAATGCTTGTCCCATATGTGGCTATGTTGCTTCAATGAAATAAAAGCCCAATAAGTGATCTTCATGACCGGCTCTAGTGGGGCAAACCAATCTTGATCCAAAATAAAAACTGAAGTAAAATAACTTTGGTATTGTTGGCCTAATTTATATCTCTAAGGTTTTGGCTATATACTTAGGCATTGAATGAGTGCAACACAATCATTATTACTTTGAAAGAGGTGTGACGAGTGTTGTGTAATACTCGTGGTGTCTGATTCATGCTATTGTATGCTAACAACAATGCAGGTATTTGTGAATGACAAGTACACGTGCTTGTAATGACTTGTGTATGTAACAAGTAACAAATGTTTAATTTAATTACTTGTGGAGCGAGAGTTGGGAACATGTTAAATCAAATTCATAAGTGCAGAAGACAAACACATGTTATGTTGCATGTGCTTGCAATAGTAGTAAGTAGTGTGGAATTGTGGATGAATGCAAGCGGATTGCGTGCATGTGGATGCAAAGAGGCACAATGGCTCATGTGCATAGACTAGCAACAATTAGAATTGTGGAGGTGTGCAAATTGACTTGCATATGTGAAAATTGCTAGAGAAGTGCACTAGTGGGTGCATGCTGGTGCTAAGGAGACGTGTAGCTGCTTGTATGTTGAGCTGGAGAATATGTTGCAATTGCTATGAGATGTGAGTGGGCATACCGTGCAATCGTCAAGGCATATTTCTATGCATCAAGATGTGTGCAAATTATGAAAATGTGTTTGATGCATGCTTGTAGTTGATTAAGATGCATGGAGCGTTTGTAGTGGACTATACATTTGACTCTAGTGTATTGATATGATTCTTTTAGTTAAAGAGAGTGTGTTGTGCATTTTTAGAGACTATTTAAGAATATTTGGCTCGGGTCAAATAGGGATAGCAAAGCCATTGGGTGGTGACTAAGGATAAACAACAATACCATAGGGGGGCAGCTGAAGAGGGGTTGTAAACGATTCGATTTCAGGTCGAGTTGGTGTTAGCTCGAAATTGGCTTGCATGGGATTGTGTGCGACGAAATCGGCTCATGGCTCTTTATATGCAACTTTGAGTCAGCTTAGCTTGAAATTGATTCGAGATTTAGCCTGAAATCGGAACGAGTTAACTCAAATGGAGTTATTTGGATTCGTTCCAACTCGAAAATTAAAATGAATCGACTCATTTCAATTGATCGAGCGCGCGCGCACACACACAAGGAATACAAATAACTTTGCATTAACCCCCCAACCGACTTCATCTGTCAATGACCTTAAGGCCTTTGGAATGTTAGGGTATGTATATTATTTGCTTTAATATTCTCCAAAAATATAGATTAATTTTGAGAAGTACTGTTTTTTTGTCGAAGTTTGTAGAAGTGTTGCCAATAAGTGAAGTCAAATAAGATAATGCAATACTATTTTTTTGTGATTATGTTGTTTATCGCTTCTATATCCTGTAATTGCTCATGCTTTCTTAGGTTGGTGAGTTCGGGTGTATTTGTAGAAGTTGATCGATCAAAGTACATCTCCTGTAAGAATTGTTTTTGGTGTTTTGCGAACGTGATTTGTTCGTCCAATAATTCATAATTAAGTGGAAAATAAACTGGTATTTTGTGAACTACCACAGTATTCATTGGCACTTGTCCCTTGATTTCTTTTTGTGGCCCAAATGTAATTTCAAACTATAGTAGGAACATCGATCATTTGGTTAATTGATTTATTCATTAAATACTAAAGATGATTTAGTTTGAACAAAAAAGTAATTGCTCGAAGGATCTCTTATATGACGAGCAAATTCAAGTTGAGTTATACTCAAAGTTGTATATAGTGGCAGCAAAATAGCTGATAGTTTACACAACCTCTTAAAAAAATGCAGAGCATGATAACTTGTTTACTTGAGAAGGTGGGAGGAACAACGTGCATATTAGAGATTCACAAAAAGATAGAAAGATGGAAAAACATGCTTCTTGATGGCTACTTAATGAGGAAGTGGAGGGACAATAAAGAGAAAAGGGTCTCATAATGAGTACACATGAATTTTAGAGTTTGGTTGATTAGTCTCCATCCAATATAAAGTGTGCTGATCATTTAATTTTACATTGTAGAATGCAGAGAGAGTTTGATTGTACTAAGCTCATCTTGACAGGAAGATATAGTAAAACACTTGGTGAAATAGAGAGATGTACGATGGGAATAAATTATTTAGAAGATTCACCTACAATTGATCTTGGTAGAAGAGAGAAAGGAGCAAGCTCATGGTTGCAATGAGAGAGTTGGACGCAGTAGATATAATACATATTGGATCAATTAGTTCTTCTCAATATACCTATGAATTGAGCGAAGGAAGTTTTTTTTCTTTTTGTTTTAGATGGATCAGTATTATAAACTTTGTGCATTTTAGCATTAGATCTAGTTGTGACGATTTTTCATGGATTTTGGGGTCAATTATGACAATTTTTGCTACTATGGGTTGACTCTAATGCTTACTATCAATTGAGGACATTTATGTTGTTTCCATTGGAGCAAATGGACGACAATAGTAAATGAGGTTTTGTCACCAAAGGAATGCCAAAGCATATGACTAATATTTTGTATTCTCCACTTTATCTTCTTCTGCATGTCAATTATGACTATTAGAGCAACGGACACGACACATGGAGTTTCAAAGTAGCAAGGGGCAATCCCATGAGCGTTCTAGTAGCAGTTGAGCTTAGGGTTTCATGAGGAGAATTATGAGTTTTTCGAGTAGTGACAATTCCCGCGAAGATTTTTGTGAAGACAATATTGAGTGCCATGATGATACCTTGAGGACCCTCACAATATTCTTCTTGAGCTCGTAAAAAAAAATTGAATTTTTTTAGCTTGCATGCCTACCGCTTGTTGGACTAAGATTGATTGTGGATGGTGCTACTTTTGAGAGTTTCACTGTACATCTTCATGTCATTGATCCAACATTTGGTACAATGTTACCATCTCATCGTAATATATGATGACCGGTCACCGTCTGTATTTAGATTGTGAAACCATTTGATTTTATGGAGGAAAAGTCCTAATCAACGTGCTTCAAAAGATTGGAAGGGGCCGTTACATGCTCGAATTGTGTGGAATTTTTTGTAGAAAAATTCTTTATTATACAGGTGCTTGAAAGACAAATATGATCTCGACCTGCTTTCACAAAACCATAACCAAATCACCTGGAAGGTCATTTCGGAAGGTTTGCGGTTTTTGGGGCCCATTACATGTTGGAAGATTAACAATGGTAATTCCATTGATGTTATGAATGAAGCTTGGATCTTCAACACTTCCATAAATAGGTGGTCGTGCCCGGTTAATGCTAATGAGGTTGAAGGTATGCGGGTTTCCAATTTGCTACTTAATGGAAACTGGAATTAGCGCCTGCTTGATTTTTTTTTGTGCCCGAAATTTCAAGCGGGATTTCGCAGGTATGAATCTACTGTGACTTGCAAGAGGCTCAAATTGAATTAAATAATATGTTCACAGGTAAAACTACAATTGTTATGGCCTACAAAGTTCTCTTTATGCAATCGAAAAGCAATTATGATTGGTTGAGCAAGTTCAAAATTAATCCACGTGAACGTCTGTTTTGGCGGTGCATTATGAATGATGCTATTCCTAGAAGGTGTTGGCTCGCCAAGTGGGGTCTTTTGGACACCACCAGTTGTCTGTTAGGATGCTCGGATATTGAAGATCGCGAGCATTTGATTACTAACTGTTTATTGTTTGGTAGAGTTAAAAATAATAGAATCTTGGAACATCGTTATTCCCTCATATGCTTCCTTTCGCGAAGCTATTCAAGAGATGTAGCTGCCCGAGGTACGACATGGCTCAAGCCCGATGCTTTTTGTTATGCTATATGTTATTGTTGGCCGGCCCACAACGCTAAAGTTCATAACTGTACGCATGCCACACCGACTATTGTTGCTTCTACCATCATCGAGGTCCTTGTCTAACAACCACAATATCGTCCTTAACTTCTTCACCTTGATGCAATAGCTGCGAGCTTTGTTCACGAATATTGATCTTGTGTGATTGATTGCCATTGCAGTATTGCATGAAAGGTGGATTTGGTGTTGTTTCTTTTTGAACAATGATGATTCCCAATTATGTTTTATATAGCTAAAGAATATTTGTATTTGGAAGTTCATTTTAAATGCTTAAATGTTAGTTTTATAAGTAAAAAATATTTAGATCACATGTATATAAATTTTAAATAAAAAAGTTTTATCGATTTGGCAAGAAGTTGTAATCCATGAAAACATATGAAAGCATTTTAATTAATTAAAATATTTTTTAATTAATTTGTGAAATGAATAGATGTTTCAGATTCGACTTGTGTTAAGAAAGGCAGAGGTAGATCTAGGAAGACTTGGGCTTATTGTATAAAAAACCATCTTAATTTATTAGGATTAAATGAAAATATGACACTAAATAGGATGCAATGGAGAAGAAGGATTCATAGAGGGATAAAGGTTTTGTTGTTGTTGTTGTTTAATTAATTTGTTATAAAAGTATATGAGAAATTTAACATCCTAAATTTTTTATTTAATATGAGATTTTGTTTTTGACTAAAATCATATTTTCTTAAAATCTTATTTCAAACCTTTCAAATGGGCTTTGAGAATTAGTATATGATTAAATAGACGAAGATGCAAAATATTTGATAAACTAAATTTATCATATATATATATATATATGATATTGATAGATTAAAAATAGCAAAATGAATATTGTATTTTGTCCTCTTATAAAAGTAACAGATAGAGACAAATAATGTATATAGGTATTGAACTATTAATTTCAATATGTATATTTTAATTTTTTTAATATTTATTTAAGCAATATATCATTACATTTTTTTTTTAATCCATTTCTTTGCTTTGCGCTTTGAGGTTTGAAGTAAAAGCAATCCCTCGCTTATCATATTGTGCTTTGAGCTTTGAAAACACTAGCAACAAGAAATGGATTTGATCTCTAAATTTAAAACATGATAGCGGACAAATTTTCTAAGAATACATGATGGAAATTAAAAGACACGTACGAGCTTTAGAAATTTTGTTGATTGGAAAATCAATATCGCCTTAAAAGTTGTTGTCGTGGAATCCATTCTATGTGTCTATCGATTTGCCTTTATCAACATGGATTGGCCTTTTAGATTGTTTTTTGGGAATAGTTGTTTGCAACAATAGTATGTGAGTGGGGAAGTTACATCATAAGGAAGGGATATGCATAATCTAATAAGAGAAAGGCAGATTGTTTGAGTTGTGAACCCGAATCCAACTCCCGATAGCCTACCTACATTGTCTTCCGCATGGATAGAGTGGACTTTTTTGATTGACTTGATTAGCTTCATGAAAGTTTTCAAACAAATTAAAGTTTTTCACCAATTCAATATCCTTGAGGTAGATTTGCAATTTCAGGTTTCTACATGCTAGTTTAAAGCATATAACTCTATTATCCTAATATAAAATTGTAATTCATATTATATGTTTGTTTTATCATTTTTATCACAGGTGCAAGCAAAGAAACAAACATTTTCTTCATTTGATGACTTGTTGGAAAATTCTGATAAACCTTTACTGGTTGACTTCTATGCAACATGGTAATTATGTTTTGCACCATCTGTTCCTCCCTTTTCTCCAGTTCCTATACTTCTGTTAAACACCACCCCCACCCCCGCGTCTGGCAGGTGTGGCCCCTGTCAATTCATGGTTCCAATTCTCGATCAAGTTAGCGAGAAGCTGAAAGATAAAATCCAAGTCGTGAAAATCGACACGGAGAAGTACACGACG